CAGCTAAAACTCCCCAACAGAACGGAGTTGTTGAGAGAAAGAACAGAACCCTTGTTGAAGCAGCACACACCATGTTAATTCAATCCAGACTGCCCCACTTCATGTGGGCAGAGGCAATCAATACTGTGTGCTTCACCCAGACTACAACATCCATTCATAAACGCTTCGACAAGACTCCATATGAAATTCTTTTCAACAGAACTCCCGACATCTCCTTCTTCAAGATTTTTGGCTGCAAGTGCTTCATACTAAATGATCGGACAGAGAGAAGTAAGCTGGACCCCAAAGCCAGAGAAGGCGTGTTTATTGGCTACTCACTGCAGTCCAAAGCTTACAGAGTCTATCTAAGAGACAAGCGCACTGTCATCGAAAGTGTAAATGTTACATTCTATGAAATGGCAGACTTCGCAATCGAACATCTACAGGCCGATCCATCACATGCTGTACCAGTAGCTTCTGATAAAGCTGAACCAAACACCGAACACGAAGATGTGATTCTCGACTCTCTTTTCAGAAACTTCTACGAGAACTCACAATCTCCACCTCCTCCATGCTCACCAGCTTCAACATCAACTCCAACAGCAGAGATTCCGCTCCTCACAGGTCCAGACGATGTACCATCCACACACTCAACCCCTCCATCCAATCTCAGAGGTGTGGATGATCACGGTTTTGCTACAAATCCAGAATCATCTCCACTGCACACCACAGCTGCTCCAGAGCCCTCAAACTCCTATCAGGACTCGGATCAACCAATCATTACTACAACTCCTCTAGCTCATGAGAGGAAACGGACGAGAGCACATCCCGTTGATCAAATAATAGGTGATCCAAGTCAAGGTGTGCGCACAAGATCCGCAACGATGAATGAATGCCACTTTGCATGCTTCCTAAGCCAGTCAGAACCATCAAAGGTCTCCGATGCACTACTTGATCCAGATTGGGTGATTGCGATGCAAGATGAACTCAATCAGTTTGACAGACTGGATGTATGGTCACTGGTACCCAAGCCTCAGAGAAAGACTATCATTGGCACGAAGTGGGTATTCAAAAATAAAAGGGATGAAGAAGGAACAGTTGTAAGGAACAAGGCAAGGCTGGTCGCAAAGAGATATAATCAACAGGAAGGCATAGAATACAATGAAACGTTTGCGCCCGTAGCTAGAATTGAAGCAATCCGCCTCTTTCTTGCGTACGCGGCACACAAAAACTTCACCTTCTTTCAGATGGACGTGAAAACAGCTTTTCTAAATGGGACTTTAGAAGAAGAAGTCTATGTTGCTCAACCTGAAGGATTTGTAGATCCAAAATTCCCAGACCATGTATACAAGCTCAAGAAAGCTCTCTATGGGTTGAAACAGGCACCCAGAGCTTGGTACGATACCTTGACCGAATTTTTGATTGATTCAGGTTTCTCCAAAGGAAAGATTGATACTACTCTGTTTATCAAGCGACAGAAATCTGACATCATTCTGATTCAGATCTATGTCGATGACGTCATCTTTGCCTCTTCAAATCCGCGCCTATGCCAACATTTTGAGAAACTGATGAAAACAAAGTTCGAGATGAGCATGATGGGTGAACTGAACTTCTTCTTAGGCCTGCAAGTAAGACAACTCTCTGATGGCATTTTCATCAATCAGTCTAAATACATTCTGGATATGCTAAAGAGATTCAACATTGAAGGCAAATCTTCCATGACGACCCCTATGTCCCCAAACAATAAACTGGACTCAGACCTCTCCGGGAAGCCAGTTGATGCTACGAATTACAGGGCCATCATTGGATCTTTGCTATATCTCACGTCAAGCAGGCCTGACATTGTCTTCTCCACATGCTTATGTGCTCGCTTTCAAGTCAATCCGAAGGAATCTCATCTGACCGCCGTACGACGAATTTTAAGATACCTCAAAGGCACGGTGAATCTAGGCCTTTGGTATCCCAAGCATTCAGGCTTTGATCTAGTCGGATACTCGGACGCTGATTTTGCTGGTTGCCGGATGGACCGCAAAAGTACATTGGGAGCCGTCCAATTCTTGGGCGAGAAGCTAGTCTGCTGGTCTTCCAAAAAGCAGAACTGTGTGTCAACATCTACAGCTGAGCCCGAATACGTCGCGGCTGCTAGTTGTTGTTCACAAATATTATGGATGAAGACTCAGCTCCAGGACTACGGCTACACATTCCGCCATATCCCGATCTACAGTGACTCTCAAAGCGCCATCGCCATCACAAGCAATCCTATTCACCACTCCCGCACCAAACACATTGATCTGCGCTATCATTTCATCAAGGATCACGTGGAGAAAGGAGACATTGATATGTACTTTGTAAACTCAGAGTTTCAACTGGCTGACTTGTTTACCAAGGCATTGGATGAAAAAAGATTCCAGTTCCTGGTCTCCAAGTTGGGCATGTTGAACCTTGAGCCTGTTTAATTTTTTGTCTCCACTGGTCTGAAAAGTGTGTGTGTGTGGGCTTGTAAAAAGTGTGTGTGAGTGTGATCTGTAAATTGTGTGTGTGCGTTGCATGGGTTGAGGGGGAGAAAATCAGAAAAAAAAACAAAAAATAGTGTGCGTATGTTGCATGTGTTGAAGGGGAGAAAATCAGAAAAAGAACAAAAAATAGTGTGTGTGTGTTGCATTTGTACATATTGTTTGTTGCATTTTTTGGGGGGGGAGAAAAAGGAAATATTTTCACTGTTTGTGGGGGGGCTCTAATTTTTACAAGTATTGGGCCTCAAAAATCCTTTAAATTGGCATTTTGTGCTAGCCCATTCATTCGGGCTCATTTAATACGGAAAAGGGCTCAAAATTTTTTCGCTGTTATAAACCCTCCGAAAACTTTCATCTTCCTAGTCTTAGAATTTTTTGCAACAGAGCTCCTCCGTACCTGATCCTTCTTCTTCCCGAAATTGTTACCCTCTCCCGTTTCTCACTACGATTCTCTACGAAGGTAGATAAACGGGACTTCTCACTCTGTCTTCTCCATCGATTCACTAAATCGAAATCTAACTAAAAATCATTCTCGCGAAACGATCGTAACTTCTCAAAATAAAAAACAAAAGGGGATTTTGTTTTCTCGAAATCGTGTTGTTTATCGATTTTTGGTATCTCTTGTTTATGTTTTTGCAGGTGGATTCGTCTCTTCGAAATCTATGATATCGAGATTTTGTTCTTCAAGATCTCGAGATCGTCGATTCATCTTCGAGAAAGATCTCGAGATTTGCATCTCGACATCTTGATCTCGAGATTTGAATCTCGAAATCAAGATCTTGAGATTTGAATCTCGAAATCTTGATCTCGAGATTTGCATCTCGACATCTTGATCTGGAGATTTGAATCTCGAAATCAAGATCTCGAGATTTGAATCTCGAAATCATGATCTCGAGATTCGGATCTCGAGATTTGGACTTTGCAATTTTTTCCAAAAATCCACCTGCATAAATTGTCTGAAATCTGCAAAAACCAAAACTCTTTCAATCTAATCTCAGAGCAATCAAACCTTTGAATTAATATGCTGACCCCCTGCTTTTACAGTTCATAATGGCAGGAACAACCCAAACACAGATTGACGACGCTATCTACCCCAAGGGCAAGTGGATCAAGGTGTTGGACAACAACTTCCAGCTAGACCTCACAGTTTTCAAGTGCCAGAACCCAGTCATTCCAGCCATAATGAAAGGTCACTATCTCTGGCCTGCACTTCACAACGCAAAACCAGTGCCAGAGATATACCTTCAGCAATTTTGGGGTCACATGCATACGGAATCACCGAAGGATCGTTCCAAGATAAAGACAAAACTGAATGGCATGCGCGTAATTCTGACACCATCAACACTAAGATCTACACTAGCACTGCCAGTTCATGACACGTATGATGCACTGCCATCCATCCCCGATCTGCTCAAAGACGTGGCATCTCTCGGCTACACCTCACTACTGCCACAGCTATCAAACTTCAACGGAGCCTATCTCCATCATCCGTGGAAGAGCCTATTCGGGCTGGTAAACAAGTGCATGTCACCAAAGCATGTAGGGTCCTAAGAAAATCCAAAAGCCACACAAACCAGTGGCCGGTTCGTCCCATGAAGGAAAGTCTGACGACTCTCTCGAGACGAGTCAGACGGCTGAGGGCACCGCAACAGACGCTGAGGAATCTGCCGATGAGTCGTCAAGTGATGCCCAAACAAACACTGACGATGAGCCATCCGAGAGCGTGGGTACGGATGTCATCATCCGGGAGAAAAGGGCTAAGATTAAAAATGACAAAGCTGCTAAGTCAAAGCCCCAGCCTCGCGTCAGAAAGAGCCTCATTGATAAGGCGGACGAGCACATATTCGTCGGCTGCGATCCATTTATCCAGATAAGCCGAGCCGAATCCCTAAGTACAGGAGCCGATGTTTTCGGTTCCCGGGTAGAAGTCGCAGCATCTGGCTCAACTGCGCAAGCACAGCCCTCACCTAGCCACTCGATAGCCTCTCAACAGGTTATCGTTTCAAAAGCACGGGACTCAACCCCCTCACTGGTTCCTTCCGAATCAGTTGAGCATACTATTGACCTATCGCCCGAGGTCAAAACCCCTTCTTCAAACACATCGAGTCTATGTGTCACTTTTCCTACATTTTCTTCTTTTTCTAGGACACCTACACTATTCACAGCACATACAGGTGCACACACCCTGAAAGCAACAACCAGAGCGCAAGCTATGACGGTTGGAAGCCCTGCTACGCCTTCAATGATTCCATCATTGCAAGCAGGCCACACATCAGCTATCTTCACTGATGCTGTGACAACAGTTACAACCCCCGTAACTGGACACCCAACCTTTGAAGACATCAACGTTCTGCTCAATCGCTTCCTAGATTCCACCATCAAACCATGGGTGCAAGATGCAATGACCACTCTAGCACAGGAATTTAGGACCACCCAAGCGGTTCAGTCTGAACACCCCCCCCCCCAACCTTCACCCGAACCCTTCACATCTCCCATACACAACCAGTATCCTCCACCCCTCTATCTCACCAATCCATCAACCAAATACCCATTCCTTCACATTCTCGGGGAACCCAGGATACAGAACTAGTATTCTCCCCACGCCCGACCACACCCTCCATCGATCTCTCCTCACTACCCTTCGAAACCCTGGCATCGGCTTTGCTGGACAATCTTCTAAACATCCCAGAAGCCAAACTTACCCTCCACCAGCAAGCCATTCTCGAAGCCCTCCTTTCTTCCCCTGAAACCAAAAGCAAATGCAAGGAGAGCCCTCGTGGTCGCAAACGTTCCCATGAGGACCCCGATGATTCGGATCCTCATGAGGGGGAGAACAAGCGGCCACGACCACTTGATCAAACTGCTTTACCTAGCCAACCTCCACAGCCCATTCAACCAGAAACCTCTACCAACCTACAGCCACCACCCGCAGCCAAAATCTCTAGCATGGTCGAGCTAGACGTAACATCCCGAGGCGTATCTCCTAGAGATACCAACCGAGGAGGGGATGGAAGTCCTGATGATGCTACCACTGGTACATCTTTTACATCAGGCCATCAGTTAGAACCTAGTTCAAAGCTCATGACAACGGGAAATCCTAGTGAACCCGGTGTTTCGATTAACAGGCCTCCGTCTCCAAAAGGTCAACCTGCCACTACCATTCTGTCGTCAGATGAAATGCATGATCAACTAGAAGATATCATTATTCACGACAAATGGCCCAGACAGTGGACGGAGATGGATCAAACCATGCAGGATGAAGAGTGTGAAGATATGCAGAGGAACTGGTTCCTACGAGAACTCATCAACAAATGTGCTGAAGATATAATCAGGCTCGAGGACGATGAACGAAAGGAAGGGGAGAACTACAAGGAATCTCAGAAAACACTTGAATCTGTCGTCAGACAATCAGCGGGAAGACTTCCCAAGACAGAGAAACCTTGGGACAACGTTCGAATCAAAGCCCCCTTCCAAGAGGAAATCAGAGAGCGTATTTGGCGTAGACCAGACAAAGTCAAACCATTGAATGAACTGAAGCTATGAGGCCTTACCCATCTCAAAGGAAAGCAGGCTGGAGGTCATCTACATATGCTATTGCAAAGGTCAACCGGTACTCAAAGAGAGCTGATGGAACAAGACTTGAAGTCCAATATTCTCCCTATTCATCAAATCCTGCAGGTTAAGGCCGAGGATTATCACGGAGTGACATTCTATTCTTAAAGGCTTCAACGCACTGACGGGAGTGAATTTACTTGCCAAGAAAATGATTTCATCATGCTTAAACCAGACGACATTTATCAAATGTTCATGGCTTATCGATACCTTCCAGTCAGGCAAAGCAAAACATACAGCGAAAGTCTTGTAGCAATCAAAAGATTCATGCTGAGACAAATCAGAGTGCACTCATCTCACGACCTACAGATGGCTATTGAGTGCAACTTGACAAAAACAAATCTTACAAAGCCAAGACTGTATGGTCCAGAACTCGAAGACTTCCCAGCTTACCACATCTTCTTCACACCGCTAGCAGTCACATATCTCAACCACAAGAACGAAAAACGCCTGATGGTGGTTAATGAAATTGAGAAATATTGTGATGGAACGCTGAAGATAATCAAAGAACAGCTTCTAAAGATGAAGGCACAGCTAGAGCAAAATCTTCAGGAGGCATCGTCATACGTTCAAAAGGAACACTCTACAATGGAGACCATTTTAAAAGCCATCGACGATCGCCTAGAAAAGAGAAACATGCTAAGGCAATACGAGCATGCACTGAATATGAGGAAGCACTACTTCAAATCACAGAAGCAATAACTAAGTGGCACTTGATCACAAAGGGGGAGATTGTTGAAGATCATTTAATTGTGAATCAAGTTTGTCATCTATTTTGTAATAGACTAGCTTTATTTTTATTCCTTGTATTAAATAGGTGCATTGATTAGATAGAATATGGGCCAAGTGTTAGGCCCATACAAACAGGCTAAAAGCCTTTCTCGCCTACCTGAACCTCGCCTATAAAAAGGGAGCCGAGGGTTCAGGATTAGGTTAACTTTCGTACTTGTTCATTATAGCCTTACGCAAATCTTTCTGTGTACGAGTTCACGGTCTATCAAAGAGGGTTTTACATCGATTCATCTGTGTTCATCTTTACGTTTAATCTTCTTTGTTAGACTGCTATTCATTGCTGTTACAGAAACAGGGACTATCACATTGATATTTGGAAACAAAAAAGCAAATGTGTTTTAATCCAACAGAAAGTGTATAGGGCTATCACTGGTCAGATTTTAGAAGCTGAGGATAAACCCAAACAGGTTGAAATGAATGAAACTGCCTGCTCAACCATTTACCTAAATCTGTCTGACTCTGTTCTTAAAAAGGTATGAATCATAGAATCTGCTAAGGAACTCTAGGATAAACTTGAGTCTTTATACAGAGACACTTATCTTCCTGGTAAACTGTTTTTATTGGAAAAAATTTTTAGGTTCAGACTTGACCTAACTAAAGATATTGATGAAAACCTAGATGTTTTTCAAAAACTGATCCAAAACATAAAACAAGCTGGGGTAAACATATTGATGATTATACCCCTATTGTCCTTCTTAATGCCATTCCAGATTCCTATAATGATGTTAAGTCAGCCATAAATATGGTAGGGATAGTATAACTCTTGATATTGTTATTAATGGCCTAAGAAATAAAGAATTGGAATTAAAACATTCTAGATGTCACCATAACCACCCCAGGGATTCTGGTGAAGTGTTAGGGGAAGGTCTAAAAGCAGATCTAGGCACCTTAAAAAGGACAACCAAGATAAAAACAATAGATAACCAGGAAAGAAGAGGTTCAAATCTAGGAAAAGAATCTGTTATAACTGTGGTAACCCAGGGCATTTCATAAACGATTGCACCCAACCTAAAAGAAATGAACAGGCTGATGCTGTGACTGATAAAGATGTAGAAGATGAAGTCTTTATGGTGTGTGATCAAGCTAATTCTGTGTTTAGTAGTTTGACTGAAACTGAATGGTTAATAGACTCTGGTTGTACCTACCATATGACCCCTTTTAGGAATCTGTTTTCTTCATATAACTTGTGTGAAATTGGTTTTGTTTCCTAGCTGATAGTAAAAGATGCAAGGTCCATGGTATTGGTGACATCTGTCTAAAATTTGAAAATGGAACTGTTTTTCAAATAAAAAATGTTATGCATGTCCCTGAATTAAGGCATAACCGGTTTTCAGTCTCTGCTTTTGAAGAATGTGGTCTTGAGGGTAAATGGGGGAATGTGTGTATGAAAATCTTGAAAGACTCTCTTGTTTTATTCAAGGCTTTGTGTTAGCTTAAATTTTGGGATACACCCTTTGCTACTTCTGTCCATCTAATTAATAGAACCCCATCCAAATCCATTTCAAATTCTAGTCCATATTTCAAACTGTATAACTCCATGCCTGGTTACTCTTTTATAAAGGTCTTTGGTTGTGCTTGTTATCCCTTTATCAGACCATACAACAAACACAAACTTGATTTTCATTCAGAGGAAAATGTTTTTGTGGACTATTCCTCAAGTCACAAAGGCTACAAATGTCTGTCTTATTCTGGCAAAGTTTACATCTCTAGGGATGTTATCTTTCAGGAATCTAAATTCCCTTATCCACTATTATTTTCCTCTGAATCTTCTTCTTTAACCACCACATATACTCCCATTTATATGCCCATTAGTCTTTCATAACCTATCTCTACTTCTAACTCTGCCCAATCTACTCTATTTGTCTCTACTAATCAGCCTACTGCTACTGCAGATCATGCTCTCTCTTCATTTTCCAATAGTTCAGAACCATCTTCTTCTAACAATGCTTCAATTTCATCTTCCACTTCTGAATCTTCATCTTCTTCCAACAATGCTTCAGTTTCCACACCACACTCTTCTTCTGCTCTTCCAATTCCTCCAGTTCATATCAGTAATACTCATCCTATGAAGATAAGGGCTAAGTCAGGGATTGTAAAACCAAGACTTCATCCTACCTTACTGTTAACCCATATTGAGCCTCAATCAGTTAAACATGCCCTGACTTCTCCTCATTGGCTTGAAGCTATGCAATGTGAATATAATGCCTTAATTGCTAACAAAACTTGGTCTCTTGTTCCCCTTCCTCCAGATAAACGGGCCATTGGCTGTAAGTGGGTTTATAGAGTCAGGAAAAATCCGGATGGTTCTCTCAATAAATATAAAGCCAGGTTTGTGGCAAAGTTTTCATCAGCAGTATGGCTTTGATTTTGGAGAAACATTCTCTCCAGTTGTCAAGCCAGTCACAATCAGAATACTTCTTACACTTGCTATTTCACAAAATTGGCCCATTCACCAACTAGATTTCAACAATGCCTTTCTAAATGAAGAGTTAGATGAGGAAGTTTACATGATGCAACCTCCAGGGTTTCAGGTTGAGGATACCTCCTTAGTTTGCAAGCTTCACAAGTCTCTATATGGCCTTAAACAGGCTCCTAGAGCTTGGTTTCACAAGCTCACTTCTGTTCTCTACAATGCTGGTTTCAAGCAAACCAAATCTGATCCCTCTCTACTTATTTTTCTGTCTTCTGGAATTCAGATGTATATATTGATATATGTTGATGACATATTAATCATTGGAAACAACTCTACTGCCATCACTCAACTTATTCATAAGCTCCATTCATCTTTCTCACTCAAACACCTAGGAGACCTAAACTTCTTTCTGGGAATAGAGGCACACAAACTTCCTGATGGCAGCCTTCATCTATCTCAAGCTAAATACATTAGAGATATATTGACTCAAGCTAGTATGTTGGATTCAAAAGGGGTCAAAACACCCATGGTTAGCACCTGCAAACTTTAGAAACAAGGCAATGATATTCTCTCCAATCCTTCTCACTACAAATCCATTGTTGGAGTTCTACAGTTTGCTACTTTAACCAGGCCAGATATATGCTATGTTGTCAATAAAATATGTCAATTCATGGCTGAACCACTACAGGAACACTGACAAGCAGTAAAGCATATCCTTAGATATCTCTCTAGCACAATCAACCATGGAATCATCATTAAACCTATCCCTTTGTCCAAAATGTCTCTTCCTATATCATATTTCTGTGATGCTGACTGGGCATCTGATCCAAATGACAGAAAATCTACATCTGGCTCATGTATATTTCTTGGAACTAATATTGTATCCTGGTGGTCAAGAAAACAACTCAGAGTTGCTAGGTCTTCAACAGAAGCAGAATATAGGAGCCTTGCAGATACCTCAGCAGAACTTCTATGGATCCAGTTTCTCTTGAAAGAACTACAAGTTCCATTTGCTATACCCAAGGTGTATTGTGACAACCTCAGTACTGTCCAGCTAGCTCACAATCCTGTCTTGTACTCCAAAATCAAACACTTGGAACTTGATCTTTTCTTTGTCAGGGAGAAGGTTCTTCTAAAGCAACATGAAGTTTATCACATTCCCTCTCTTCACCAGATTGCTGATATCCTAACTAAACCACTCTCCAGCTCCAGATTTCTTGAACTCAGAACAAAGCTTAGTGTGATTGAACTTTCAAGTCAATCACCCTAAATTTGAGGGGGGAATGTTAGCTATATGCATTGTGTTAGACTAGAACTTTCTATTGTAATAAGTCTATAGTCTATAGCTTGTTAGTATCTCGGTTAGTTGTTAAAGTCTAACTGACTTAAAACCTCTATAAATACATTGTAACCCAACTCAGTTTCTTAATGAAATCTTTCTGTTAGTTCATATATATCTCTATCTCTCTCGTTTATCTAATACTTTGAAACAACATAACCTGTATGTTGTTCATGCTAAACCATTTTCTGAAACTGCTAATGTCGTACTCTCTGACAAGTCTATGCTTTGGCACCAAAGACTTGGTCACATCAGTAACAAAGGTTTAAATATTTTACAAAAGGTTGGTTGTTTTGGAACTGACTTGATGTCACCTATACCATTGTGTGAATGTTGTGTTCTAGGAAAGCAACATAGGGTTAAATTCCCTACCTCTACCTATCCTAGTGAGCCTAAGTCTTCTTCTGTCCTTGAGTACATACATGCTGATGTATGGGGTCCTTTCAGTGTCCCTACCCATGGAGGTAGGAGGTACTTTCTGTCCATAATTGATGACTTTTCTAGAAAAGTCTGGGTCTGTTTGTTAGAACATAAATCTGATGTGTATGTTAGGTTTAAAGAATGGAAAATTATGGTAGAAAACCAATCTAGCTGTAAGGTTAAAACTCTTAGAACTGACAATGGCCTTGAATTTTTCAATAGAGACATGGATAGGTTGTGTACTGAGTGTGGGATTAGGAGACACATATCTGTGCCCTATACTCCCCAGCAAAATGGCCTGACTGAAAGAATGAATAGGACCCTCCTAGACATAGTTAGGAGTATGTTGGCCACTTCTGGTCTCCCCAAGAAGTTTTGGGGAGAAGCAGTCAACACTGCTGTGTATCTAATCAATAGGTCTTCTTCTGTGCCCTTGGGGGGTAAAACCCTTGAGTCTGTGTTCTCCAAAAAATCCTCTTGATTTGTCAAACTTAAAACTTTTTGGATGTGCTGCATATGTACATCATCAGACTGACAAACTTGATCCTAGGTCTAAGAAGTGTATTTTCCTAGGTTACCCTGAAGGTGTAAAAGGTTATAGAGTCTGGGATAGGATTCAGATTGGTTTTAAAGTCATAATAAGTAGAAATGTTGTGTTTAATGAACTGGATTTTCCTTGCTTGGTGAAAACTGTGACTGAACTTGAACTCAATACTGATAGCACCCCTCCCAGTGAGGTGGAGTCTATCCAGACTATCGCTCTCCCTCTATTTCATGAGTTTGTTAGTTCTAACTTGACCAACACTATGCATGTCACCCTTTACACCTCCAGTGAGGTGGAGCAGCCCACTAGGTCCATTAATAATGATGAAAGTATGCATGATGTGTTTGCTGGTAATGACTCAACTAATGGCAATGACCATCATGAAACTGCTACTGATAATCAGGGTCTTGAAGATTATTAGTTAGCTAGAGATAGGACTAGAAGAAACATAAGGAAGATCTCTGATAGCATGACTGACTATGCCTTTCACCCGTATGATACTTCTTTGTTT